TTAGGGAGATTGGCCTACAGTTTTCCTTTTTGGTTGCATTCTTCTCTGGTTTTAGAATCATGAGGCTGAATTATGGGAAGAGAAAATAGGTAGAAATAGGTAGAAATCTTTCTCTTCTCTTACAGGAAGAGAAAATAGGTAGAAATCTTGAAGACGTAGGTCTAGGCAGAGACGTCATAAACAAAATCCAGACTGCAAGGGAAATATTACAAAGAATCAACAAATGGGATCTTGCCTTATTAAAATGGTTTTGCACAACAAAAGAAATCACCAACAAAGTGAAAAGACAGAGTGGGAAGAATTTATAGCCAGTTATCCCTCAGACAGAAGACTTTTATCTAGAATATATAAAGAATTGAAAAAAATCAGACCCCTCCAAATTCAAAGACCCAATCCAAAACTGGGCATCTGAGATGAATACAAACTTCTCAGATGAAGGTAATTCTTGCCAAGTCTTTAGGGTAATACTTGCTTCCAGGAATGATTTTGGAAGTACTTCCCTTTCAATGTCTTTAAAGTTTCATCATTAGTGGCATTAATTCTTCTCTAAATTTCTTGTAAAATTTGACAGTAAATCCGTCAGGACCTGAGCTTTTGTTTGTTGGTAAATTTTCAATTATGTTTTTAATTTCATTGACTGATCTCAGGTGATTCTGAACTTTTATATCTTCTTGATTTAGTCTTGGCCATTCAACTGTCTAGGAACCTGCCCATTTCTTGTTTTCCATCTTATTAGAATATAGGTTCTCATAGTAGATACTGATGATCTCCTGGATTTCTGTGGGAATCTGTCGTGATTTACCTCTTTTCATTCCTAGTTGCTTGAATTTGTGGGGTTTTTTTGTTTTGTTTTGTTTTGTTTTTTTACTTTTTCATGAGGTTGGCTAATGGTTTATCAATTTTACTTACTCTTTCAAAGAACCAACTTTTAGATTCATTTATTCTTTGTATTGTTTTCTTAGTCTCTATTGCATCAATTTCTGCTCTTATCTCTATCATCTTCTCATATGAAGTGTGGGTTTGATTTGTTCTTTTTCTAGAAGGTTAAGGTTCAACATTAGGCTATTTGAGCTCATACTGTTTTCCTGATGTGTGAGTTCATTGCTGTAAATTTCCCTTAGAGGACTGCTTTCATTGCATCCCATAAGTTTTGGTATGTTGTAACAGCATTATCATTTAATGGAATATACAGTTTAATTGTCTTTAATTTCCTGTGACTCATTGGTTGTTCAGAAGGGTGCTTAATTTCCATGTTTATGTAGTGTTTGTGATTTCCTTTGTCACTGATTTCATTTCATTGCACTATGATCAGAGTATGCATGGGATAATTTCAATTACTCTACATTTTCTTAAATGTGTTTTGTTAGCTAATATATGGTCTATTTTGGAGAATGTTCCATGTGCAGCTGAGAAGAATGTGTATTCTTGTTTTGGGGTGGAACATTCTATAGATATCTACCAGGTCTGTTTACTCACAGGCTTGGTTTAAGTCTAATATGTCCTTGGTGATTTTTTTCTAGTTGATCTATTTGTGAGAGCAGGGTTTTTTTGTCTAGTTGATCTATCTGTAAGAGTGGGGTTTTTTTTTGTCTAGTTGATCTATTCACGAGTGGGGTTATGTTAGTACAATTATGTTAGTACTTATTTGGTTTTTCATGTCTGTTAATATTTCTTTTATGTAGTTGGATGAATGTGTGCTTGGTGCATATTTATTTTTGTTATCTCTTCTTGGAGTTTTTCCTTAACAAGTATGTAATGACCTTATCTCTTTTGATCAGTTTTGGCTTAAGGTTTGCATTGTCTGCAAATAGAATAGCGACCCCTGCTTTTTTCTGGGTTCCTGTGGCATGAAGAATTGTTTACCATCCTTTTACTTTTAGTGTACAAATTTCTTTTTGGGTTAAATGTTTCTTTTTTTGTGTGCTGGAAATCGAACTCAAGACCTTGCACTTAAAAAAAAAAAAAAAAGACCTTGCCAGGCAGGGACTTGTGCCACTGAGCTAGATCCCTAGTCCCTAAATGTGTTTCTTGAATGCAACACATTGGTGGATCTTCTTGATCCATTCTGCCAGTCTCTTTTTTTTTAATTGGTGAATTGAGACCATTTACATTGATGGTTATAACTGGTATGTATTGGCTTATTTTTTCATGTTGTTTTCCTGTTTTGAAAGTTTTTCATAAAGGGCCAGATGACAAATTTCTCAGTTTTGTGGGCCATACTGTCACAACTGTCACTGCAGCAACAAAGCAGCCACAGAAACATAAACTAAGCATTACAATATACCAGTAAAATTTTAACTGCACTAGGCTGGATTTGCCAGAGGAAGTAGTTTGCCAATCCTTGGCTTAATCCAGTAAAATACAAATTACCTTGAGAGTTGGTGAATTACAATGATATCTACTTAGAACAACAAAACATCAAAGGCCCAGGACCTGTGTCATCTAACACAGTTTGGGGTACCACAACCTGACATACTTAGCATGTAAAGGTGTGATCCAAGAAATCACAGGAAATTATGGAAACCTACCTTTTCCATTGTATATATACTTCATCAAAACCCCTTAACAAGTAAGCTTTAAATATCACTGAGATTCCTAAGAAATAAATGGGCTTTGATCCTACTTAACAGTATGTTTTCATGACTAGACTCCACTGGCATCAAGCTGTCTTCTCCCTATGCACTTTTTATAAAAATCCTTGTTATATTTTATTTCCAGAACTTAATTGACTCCTTTCATATTCAGGATTTGCCCTGCAACTTTGTAAACATTTTCCATCATTTTCCCCACAGTGCAAGTCTCTTGGCCAGACAGTATTTAGAAAGACTCACTAGTTCTCCCAACCAGACCAGGCACTTGAAATACCACTGCCCTGGGCTATCCACTTAGCCAGTATGGAAGTCTAACAAGAATTAGGAGGCATCAATTCCTTATACTGGAGTTACACTAAAACCATCTAGGCTATATAAACTTATGCCTAAAGTATTAGTCAAAAATATATACTCTTATTCATCAGTACATCTGTATATTTCAACTACACAATTTCTTTTATAACTGACTTCAAGTTCCACTCTTTAATTTTGGCTTTATAAGCCACTTTATCCCTTAATTACAAGATATTAATATTTTAATAATTTTTCAAATTATACTCTGCACCTTTACTACTGTAATAGTATTTCATGGAAGTTAAATGTGGAAAACAATCCTGCATTCTCTGTATTCATATACAGGTGAATAACCTCCCACACAACTGGGTGCACTAATCACTAAGAGTTAAGGTTATGTGATGACCCTAAACTACACTATTCTTCTATGTCATAATTCTTGATAGTAACTTTAATGTATTTGTTATTGCAGGAGTAGATAAAATGTTAAATTCTTACTGAAATATCTGGGAGTATCCGATAAATGTGCAACTTTTTAATGTATGTTAACATTTTAAATTAAAAAATCTCTTGAACACTTTTCATGTTCACAACACAGTAAAATCACTATTGTGCTTGTTATTCATTTCTTCTATTTAAGTTTCCTAATTATAAGTTCCTACTCTATCAAAGGGATGAACATTATCAGTGGTGGCAAACCTATGGCATGTGTGCCTCAATGGGCTGTTTGTTATCACTGAAAGCTCCAAAAGGTTTACCATCACTGTTTTATACTCTGATCAACACCTCTTCCAGGTGTCTTTTTCCTACTCCCACTACTAGGAGAAAGAGAATCATTCATAAACAAATAATGTTTGATAAAATTTATCCAATTCTAACAATTTTTGTCCTTTTTTCTCAGGGTAGGGAAAGGTAGAATGCGGGGTAGAGAACTTGACTATCACCTGCAAATAGCGTCTACTAAAGTTTTGGTAAAAGTAACACTAAAGCTCTTGGAAGCCAACCATGTCAAATTCTGGATGAAAATGTGGAAATAAAAATTATCAATTTTGAGCTGGGCATTGTGGCACATGCCTGTAATCTCAGGACTCAGGAGGCTGAGGTACAAGGATCACTCCAAGTTGAAGGCCAACCTGGGCTACATAGTGAGTGCAAGGCCAGCCTAAACTACATAGTGAAACCATGTCTCAAAAAACAAAACAAAAAACCCCAATATTTGCTATAAAATGTTTATCCTTAGTGACTTTGTCTGATAAACTTCCACATTAACAGTACTGAAAAAATAGTAGTGTAATATCAGTGCCTCTTTTTTTTTGAGACAGGGTCTCACTATTTAGTTCAGGTGGGCCTCAAACTTGCAGCGATCCTCCTGCTGCAGCTTCCCTAGTGCTGGGATTACAGGTGTGAGCCCCCACACATGGCTGGGTGCAGTGTACTGTTATTACAAGATGAATAAAATTCATTTTCAGTCTATCATGTCACAAGAGAAATAACTGTATTGTATAAAATCCACAGAGCACTAAAGTTCAACAGGTTATAAGCCAACTTGATAACACTGGGGGTGGGCTGGGGATTTAGCTCAGTGAAATATGCACCTGCCTGGCAAGTGCAAGGTCCTGAAAAAGAAGAAGAAAAAGAAAATGATAACGCTAGGGAGGACAGTTGCTAATCATAACAGGGAAATGCCAAAGTAATACTATAAATTGTATTACTGAGTGATTTTCTATTTCAACTTAGCTCCCTGAATTAACTTCATTACTTTCAAGTTTTCTAAATACCAATTCACAGTATTCTGGAGGTAATCTCAAAACAATTTTCAAATATCACACTTTGCCACTAATGTAATAAACACTGAGCACCTTTAAACTATCTTACAATACTGATTGTGTAGATTACCAGCAATCGCTGCCATTATGGAATTAAAGTTTTAGGGAACACTAAGGCCTCTCTTCTGAGTAACACTTGAGAAAGGTCAATGTTCTGACTACATCTCTTATAATAATTTTAAGAGTTCTTTCTGCTGCATACTCTGAGCCACAGTGGCAAGAACAGCCATAGAAAAGACAAATGAAACAAGTTTTCTTCTGAAATGTGAGGGTAAAAATTCACGACACATCTTCAAAAACATTTTATAGAACTTTGTTCTTGTGTGAATTCTCTGTCCTTACCAACATTATTTTTATAAGACTTATCACCAACATGAATTCTGTGATGAATTGTAAGATTTGATCGCCAACTGAAGCTCTTACTACATATCTCACAGGTGTAAGGTTTCTCTCCCGTGTGAACTCTCTGATGAGATTGCAGTTGTGAGGACCGACTGAAGACTTTACCACACACATCACATTTATATGGTTTCTCTCCAGTGTGGACACTCTGGTGAAGCTGAAGACTTGAAGCCTGACTGAAGAACTTACCACACTCCCCACACTTGTATGGTTTTTCTCCAGTGTGGACTCTCTGATGCATGTCAAGATTCAAGCTCCATTTGAAGCCCTTTCCACACTCCTCACATTTGTATGGCTTTTCGCCAGTGTGGACTTTTTGGTGGGCTTGAAGGTGTGAGCTCCGACCAAAGTTTTTCCCACATTCTTCACAATTAAACGGCTTTTCTCCACTGTGGACTCTTTGATGGGCCAAAAGATTTGAGGCCTGCCTGAAGACCTTCCCACATTCCTCACAATTATATGGTTTCTCTCCTGTGTGAATTCTACAATGAATTTTAAGATCTGCTCTTCGACTGAATCCCTTTCCACATTCTTCACATTTGTATGGTTTCTCTCCAGTGTGAATCAATTGGTGAATCTGAAGTCGTGAGCTCTGATTGAAGCCCTGTCCACACTCCTCACACTTGAAAGGTTTTTCTATACTGTGGGCCTTCTGGTGGATTTGAAGATAGGAACTCTGACTGAACCCCTTCCCACATATCCCACATTTATAGGGCTTCTCTCCTGTGTGGACCACTAGATGAACTTGATAATGCGAGTTCCTCCTGAAGCTCTTCCCGCACTCCTCACATTTGTATGGTTTCTCTCCAGTATGGACTCTCAGGTGGGCTTGAAGATTTGAACTCAGAGTAAAGCCTTTACCACATAGAGTACAGATGTATGATTTCTCTCCAGTGTGGACTCCTTGATGGGCTTGAAGACTTGAAGGCCGACTGAAGCCTTTACCACATTCCTCACACTTATAGGGTTTTTCTCCTGTGTGGACCCTCTGATGAATGTAAAGATTTGAGCTACAAATGAAATGCTTCCCACACTCCTCACATTTGTATGGCTTCTCTCCTGTATGTACTCTCTGATGGGACTGAAGATGTGAATTCCGACTAAAGCTCTTGGCACATGCATTACATTTGAACGGTTTTTCCCCAGTGTGGACTCTCTGATGGTCCTGAAGATGACAGGCCTGACTGAAGGACCTCCCGCACGCCTCACAACTATAAGGCTTCTCGCCTGTGTGGACCTTACTGTGAACAGTAAGGGCTGATCTACGACGGAAATCTTTCCCACACTGCCCACATTTGTATGGTTTCACCATTGCGTGAACTTTCTGATGTGTCTGTAGATGTGAGCTCTCACTCAATTCCTTACCACACTCAGGTTTTTCTCCCAGGTCAGCCCTCCGATGAACACAAAGAACTGAGCTATTTGGGGAACCCTTTCCACATTCAATACACATCTGAGATTTCTCTCCAGCGTGTGATTGCTGCTGAGGATCAAGGCTAGAGAGATCAGTGAAGACAAGTTTCTGTCCTGGGTGAGTCATCTTATGCTGATAAAACGTTGAACTCTGTATGTTATTTTCCTCATAATCATTGGAACTATAAGATTTTTCACTTTTGTATATTCTATGATCATCATGGTGACTTGAAATCCAGCTGACGTGGTCAACACCTTGTTTACGTTGACACAGTTTATGTTTCATGGAAATCTGCTGACATCTATTCTGAATATTCTGTGATTCAGTCAAGGAAGTTTTCCTCCATGAATTCAGGGTTTTAAAAGTTGAAAATTCTGGATCTCCAGTATCCTTGAGAACATCTGTTTCATGATTTTCTAGACAGTTTTCATCTTCAGAAATTTGAATACATAGTCCTACCCCAACATGGCAGATGGGATCACCTTGTATGTGGAATTGAGAATTATTTATCATGGAGTTGTGAAACGTGGTTAAGTCATTTGTAATTTGTTGCCAGATTTGCCAGCAGGAAAGCTCTTCATGGGATCTTCTGTCTTGAATAGTCCTTAATTCACTTTGTTTATTCTCTAAGGACAAACAATTTAGAGATATAGACAAGTGTAAGTTTTATTCAAAGATTCATACTTAGGACACAGCAAGAGACTTTAATGAATTTCAGGATGGCTCAGGTTATCTTTTTCATCATATATGAAGTTTTCTGATTTATACTCTGGCAGAAACCAAGAGATTAAAAAGAAAAGAAAAACAAACCAAGAAGTGATCCAGTAAACTCCCACTACTCAGTATTAATGAAACTCATTTAAAAATACAATTATTGACATACTACTTGATGGAGACCACCACTACAAAGTGGCTCTGAGCAGGATTTCATATTAACCAATTGGTTTTCCATGTTTACTTGTGAGTTGTCCAAAGCTTAGGTACCTTGTCTAGAGATGGGCAGAGGACTCATAGTAAGTGAACCTCTACGAGTTACTAGTCACTACTGAGGCCTGTATTGGCCTGTGAAGCTGTGACGCCTCAAAGGACACAAGAAGGCCACAGGGTGAGGACTTTTGGCTCCAACCTCAATTAACTAAAAGGAGACTGTAGCTGCAGGCTCCACACGCCTACAATAAATGCCAAGCTAAAGATAAGGTAGTTCTCCTGACTGACATAATATTTCCCAAGTTGCTGCTAGATTCCTGGGTTTTCTTGAGTTTCCACCTCCTTTGTTTGAAAACCTAATAAATATTGGCTGACCAGAGAAGTCTTTGTCTTAACCCAGAGAATCTCAAATTCTGTAAGAGCTGGACCCTCCTGAAGCCCTAAAATCATTTCAGTTGTCTCATTTATTTAAGCCCTTGCCATCCACTCATTTGGGAGATTTCAGGCCTGATCAGCCCACAATAACTAAGTGTTATTAACTCGATAACTACCTAAATCCTTTAAAATTATATGTCTTTCCTACCACAACAAGATATCAGTAAAGATAAAATTCTGTGGAGCTCAGAGCTTCATAACCACTGCTCCGAACAGTGTCCGGGAGTTAGATGGTACTAGAACAATGCATGGATAGATGAATTCCAGTTTGATTTCTAGGATTCTGTACTGCTACTAAGCCTATGTTTAAGTTTGAGCTAATGCATATGCAGAAGAGCATTTTGAAGTTACATATTTGAAATACAAGGGCTAGGAAGTGCAGTGTTGCCAAGAAGGCAAAAAGTTATACCTTATACCCGAGGCAGTGGCACAACAAATAAATCAGTGCCTAGGAAAAAATTAGGCGGTAAGAATCAGCTGGGGTGAATCATGAAGACTGGTGCACTGAGTCCTCCTGACTTTTTTTTTTTTTTTTTTAATTTCAGTGCTGAGCATTGAATTTAAGACTCAAGGTCTCACACAGGCTAGGCAAGAGTTCTACCATGGAGCTACAGCATCAGCCTCTTTCAGAGGTCTTTGTACTGTCTCTCTAGCATGATTCTACTTCCCCAAGAAAGAGTCCAAATTCAGAGACAACTGCGGAACAGGAAGAAAATGTTCAAATGCGAAGGGGAACTAGGGAGGGAGGAGGGGAAAGGAAGGGAAAAGGAAACAAGAAAAGAAGGAAAACATGGAAACTAAGCTTTTGTGTAAATAGGGAGGGGAAGAGGGGTTGAAGGGAAGGTAAGGGAAAAGGGGAGAAAAAAAGAATCAAAATAGATCATGTACAGATACAAATTCCCTATGATGAACGTGATTATTATGTATACCTAAAATGTACCAATAAACTTTTTATTTTTTCTTTTTGGTTTTTTTGAGACAAGATCTTGCTATGTAGTTCAGACTGGCTTTGAACTGACTATGTAGCCCAGGCTGGCCTCAAACTCCCAGCAATCCTCCTGCCTCAGCATCCCAAGTGCTGGGATTACAGGCATGCACCACCATGCCCAGCTTGTACCAATAAACTTCGTTAATTAAAAAAATTCAGAGACAAAGAAAGGATACTGTTTCTTTGATAGCATGCAAAATTCTAAATATACTGTAGATTTATTTTGCTTTTAACAATGTGTTTTCCTATTTGTTTTTTTAAACAAGATTGTTTTTCAGATTAATAAATGAAGTATATTAGTGAACTATGAAATAAGCTTAATAGCTCTTAATAAATATTTAGAAGAAATAGATTAAAAATAGAGATCTGACACAAGCAGTGATGGTGTCACTGCATGAAATGCCTTCTAAGGTCATATAAATCTATATACATACAGAATGTTTGTAGAAATAACAATGAAAGATCCATTCCTTGTAGTAGTTATGGACTTTGGAAGAAGCAAATGGGATGGAGTGCGGCAAATATTTTAAGGGAAAGGCTAATTCACAGTTAGCTATATTCCGAGGCTTTTTCTTCTCTGTTATGAGATAAGGAAACAGAACTTTATTTCTTTTTATGCATAAATACCTAAGTAGACAAAATATTCCCTCTTCAAATGAATATGCTCTGCTGTAACTGCTGAAATGAAGTCCCTGAGAAAGTATGCTATGCTGTTTGGTTACTATTATAATGCTACAGGTTCCCCAAGATGTGGATCAACTTGAACAGATACGCAAACACACATATACACCCTCCTACAAATTAGAATTAGATTAGGAATTCATCGGAAGACAAAAAATATTATTTACCCTGGTGTGTTTATTAGCTATGGAGGACAGCTTTTCATATCCATTAACTCATTCATTTATTCACCTAATATTCACCCTGTCATGTACTGCGACTGCTGTAAGAACTGAGAAAACAGCAAAAAACATAAGGCAAAAGTACTACACTCCTAAAGATTACAGTCCCATATATGAGGTGATGATTGATGTTTACACAGAAATAACGGAGGGCACTGAGAGTAAAGGGAGAACTGTATTTTTGGGGTGATCAGAAGACGCTCATGATACTAAAAATGAGCCAAGGGGCTGGGCATGTAGCTCAGTGGTGAAGCACTTGCTTAGCATGCACAAGGCCCTGGGTTCAGTCCTCAATACTGGAAAAACACACACACACAATAACAACAGAAAGCAGACTTGAATGAAGGAAAGAAAGGGAGCGGGAGGATTAGAGGTGAATGAGTATTCCAGGCAGAGAGAGCGCACAAAGGGCTCTGGCGCAGAAGTGACCTTGGCTAGTCTAAGAAACTGCAAGGAGGACAGTGTGGCTGGAAAAAGTGAACATGAGGGAGAGGACAGAAGAGGGGTAGTGGAGGATGAAGACCTAACCACAAAGGACTCTATTAGCCACTTTTTAGGCAGACGTTTTACTCTAGGTAGAATATGCACAACAAGCCAGGCGTGGTGGCACACGCCTGTAATCCCAGCACTCAGGAGGCTGAGGCAGGAGGATTGCTGCCAAGTTTGAGACTAGCCTGGGCTACAAAGTGAGCTCAAGGCCAGCCTGAACTGCATAGCGAAACCTGTCTCAAAAAGACCAAAAAAACAAAAACAAAAACAAAAACAAAAAATTGCATAACAGAATTTTGGGCAAGGGAGTAACACACTCTAACCTAAGGCTAAACGATCACTTTGGCTGCCACGTAGGCAATAGGAAGTAGGAGAGGAAGAGGGAGGGAGTAGGGCAATGAGTAACAAAGCTGCTCCAATAATCCAGAAGAGAGCTGGCAGTCTGGGCCAGGGGACAATAACAAGGGTGATGAGCAAAGCAGACAGACAATGAACTGCAACAAGTTATAACTGCTTGGTCCTTACGTAAATTTCTTTCTCTTTGGGTTTCTGCCTTCATCACCCAAAGCTTCTCTTTTCTTTCTACATGTGAACTGTCTCCTTCGAAGAGCTGATGCTCTAGGAACATGTAGCATTATATAAGCTTAAAACAAACACACTAGAACTAAAATGTATTAAAAAATCTGAGCTTCAACAGCACACCAAAGATACTGAAAACTATCTTTTAAAACTTTCCCTCGAACCCATGACCCACTGAAGAATACTGCTTATTTCATGACTGACACATGTACATAATTTATATTAACAAATAAAAATTCTGAATGATCTTTTTCTTTTTTTTTTTTTTCTGCTACCGGGAATCAAACTCACGACCTCGCACTTGCCAGGCAGGCGCTGTGCCTCTGAGCTAAATCCCCAGCCCCTGAATGACCGATTTTTAATTAATGCCTGTTTGCATCAATTCTCTTCCCATTGGCTCTCATGTTACTCATCCATTTGGCCAGTTTTTAATGCAATATGTATCATTCTTCCGGAGCAGCACTCATTTTCATTAGAAATTGCTCATAGGAGCCTGGGTATAT